TTTTCGAAATATGGGTCACCGAAGGAAAGGTGGACGTGTCCTAACCAGGTTCCGTTTAGCCCGGGCACGCCGTTAGTCAGAATGGGCAACGGGCACATCCATTGGCTGTCGGGGAATGAAGACAGTGGCATTATGGGCCCCAGTGCGTGTTCGAATCCGGGGACTGGCCTGTTCGCTTGTTTTCCCCCTCCGTCAGTCCCGCCGAGGGAGCCCCTCTTTCCCGCCTCCCACTTCCCTGTTGTCGCTGCGCCGCTCGTCGCCCAAATCGCCAACACCGCCGCTGGACACGACCGCCTCACTGTCGCGATCCAGCGATCGCCCGAATCGCCCATCGGCTTGTGCCCACGTCCTGGCGCGCTTCTCTCTACACCCACACCACTTTTCCCTCTTTGCGCAGTCTTTCCCTTCCCCCCCCCCTCGCTCCCTTCCTTTCGACCAGGCCTTTTTTTCCCAGACTCTCTCTCCCGCGACTCACAAACTACTTTCTCCTCATCCATTCAACATCCCCCCCCCCCTCCTCTTACCCATTCTTTTTCTCTTCCTTTCCTCCTCCTCCCTCTTCCCTCTTCTCTCAAACGTCTTCCTCCTTCCTTCTTCCCCCTCCTCCTCTTTCTCTCTCCTCTTCTTTCCTGGGTCAGCATTCAACATCTTGCTCTCTTCCTTTTTTCTCTTTTCTTTTCCTTTTCCCTCTTGTTTGTCTTTTCCCGTTCTGTCTTTCCCATCCTTTGGTACTTCCCCTCCCCGGCTTCTTATTAAAGACTGCCTCCACCACACAATCACCACCACCACTATTACAACCACACGCTATCACACTATTCTCCCCTCCTAGTCCGCCTGTGGCTGGACACCCCCCTTCTTCCAATTCCAACACTGCCCTCCAGTATTCCCCCACACAAGGAATGATCAGGCACCAAACCGAATTCCTGTCGTCTACCCGCCTACAGAACCGGTGTGAAATCACGAAAGGGACGATAGCGCAGTCTTCGATCTTGTCGCTGTTCTACTAGGATTCAGCCGTGGTTGTATATTCGCTGCAGTATTCTCAGCAATGGCTCCCACTGCACCTCCCCAGGCGACCAACTCGCCAGCCAAGAAGACATCAGCCCCAGAGAAGAAATACAAGTGCCAATTTTGTAATCGCGCCTTTAGCAGAAGCGAACATCGCAGCAGACACGAACGTTCGCGTAAGTAGAGTGGTCTCTTTTCTATATGGTCTTCTTTTCCTGTGCGCGGGGCTAGGTGTACTGTCTTTGCAGACAGGCTAGTTACTGTGCTACGGCTGTGTGTTTCGCGTCGTTTAGTCTTTAGGGCACAATACTAACCGTCGTTGCTTCATAGATACCAAGGAGAGGCCGTTCAAGTGTCTGAAGTGCCGGAGTACTTTCGTCCGTCGTGATTTACTCCTTCGTCATGACCGTACCGTTCACGCAAAGGACGGTGGGATACCGCTAGTTTCCGAGGGCCGGCGACGTGGTGGCGCGGGTGTCCAAAAGACTTCCCCCGCACCCGCCCCTTCCAAGCCCTCGATCACAATTGATCCTGCTACTCTCGAACAAATAGAGGCCAGCAGTGATGGTATGGTTGATCTTGAAACTGCAGCCATGTTGATGACAGATTTCCAACATAAGGCCGCAGCTGCCGCTACTGGTCAAGCCAATGAACGTGCTGAATCGGATCGCTCCTTTTCCCCTGGACGCGGTCCTTTATTAGAGCCTCCTGTGTCGTACATGTCGGGCAACGCGACCTTGCCGCAGATGCCTTGGGACACCTTGGTTTCCCCTGCGGACACGAAGCACACGATGGGATCGCCATTCGTGTCTCAAGACAGTGGCTCGGAATCGCATACGCTGCCCTCGGTTATGGACCGACACGGCGCTGTGGGTGATGCGCTTGCTCCCTCGCTGCACTCCCTGGTGAACTCGCTGCCCATGTCTGGAAACTCAACGCCGAATGCGCTTTCGCCGTATCCCTCGATGACCGGTCCCGTCAGTCCAGTGAACTACCGCCGGTCGCCCGGTCCTAGCCAAGCCCTGACGCTGCCCAAGGCCCCGCAGATTGCCAACGAGATCGAGCGAAACATGGTTGTTGAACGTCTGCACAATGTGGATTCTCTCAATGTGCTCCCTGAGACCTTCCAGCTGCCTCCGACCGCATCTCTCAACAAGTATCTCTCCACGTACTTCAATCTGTACCACCCTCACCTGCCGTTCTTGCACCAAGAGTCTTTCAAGCCCACCGCTGTTTCACCGCCATTGCTACTCGCGGTCCTGTCTATTGGTGCTCTGTACACCTTCGAGCGGCAACATGCCTTCATGCTCCACGTGGGGTCCAAGATGCTGGTCAACCAATTCTTGCAACATAAGGACAACTTTGACTCGCGCAAGTGCCCTCTCTGGGCCATGCAAAGCACCCTGCTGAACATGATTTTCGAGAGCTGGAGCGGTGATCCCAAGGGCCTCGAATGGACCTGTTCCATCAAGAGTCTTCTGGCCAATGTAAGCGCATTCCCTTTATTGTACTATTTGAATGATGCTGATAAATGTAGATGGTTGCCGGAAACCGCTATCAACTGAAGCTCCGGACCGAAGCGCGCGAGGGTGCTCAGCCGACCCGCGAGGAGTGGATCGAGGACGAGTCGTGTCGCCGGACGTACTACGCCGTTTACATCTTCTTCGGCATGCTCACGCTGACCTTTAACCACACCCCAGCGATGAGCTTTGACGAGTTTGACAACTTGGAGCTGCCTTCCTCGGAATCCATGTGGAACCTGGATGTGACGGACGACGAGGCGTGGCGCCGCAGCTTGGCGTCCTCCACGCCGCTTACTGTTCGTGAAGCGCACGACTGCCTTTTCCAGGGCGAGCAGACGCGCTACAGTGCTTTCGCCACTCGCGTGCTGATCAACGCGCTCTTCCTGCAAGTTTGGAACCATAAGAGGAGCTTCGAGGCCCTCCAGGACGTGGTGACCGAATACAAGCTTCGCTTGGCGCTGGAGACGTGGGAGAGTTCGCTTGAAGTGTGCGAGCCGGAAACGATTGTGGTGCCTCTCAGCACCCCTCAAAAGGGCCACCCCTTGATCTTCAACTCGATGGCCGTCTACCGCAACACCCGCGCTCGCCTTGAAGTTGATCTCAAGTCCATCCAGGAGGCCCTGCGCTACCACTCATCTTACGAGGTCGCTGCTGCGATGACGGTCGCTCGCGAGAAGGTCAAGCGGTCTCAGGAGATGAACAAGGTGATCCAATCGTGCTTTGAGTGCATCGAGATCGCCGCCGTTCAGGGCATCAACTGGGTCGCCAAGACATCTGCAACCAACTGGAGCGTCGAGCATCCTCTCTGCGGCTTGGATTTGATGGTCATTCTCAGTCTCTGGCTCTATCGCCTGGAACATGACGAAGAGCCCGCATCGGAGGCTGAGATGGCCATCTACAATAAGGTGCGGAATCTGTTTGATGATGACGCCGTCGATGCTTTTGGAAAACTCAGCTCCACCGTGGCCCGTGTATGGGGTAACATCCTAGACGGCGTGGTAGTTTGGGGGTAAGTTGATTCCAGCTATGCTGACGCTGAGATATTGTTTGCTAACATGTAACAGAATTACGAAGCTCATGGGCGAGTCATTCAAACTTCATTCCCAGGCCTTGGTCGGCTACGAAGATTCGTTGCGCGTTGCCAAGGACCAACCTATTCACCCAATGCCGACGAAGACGCTTGCCAGCGTTGGCACCGCGTACTAGTGCGAGCAACATCTCCACTCGACAGATCGGCAGCATGACTATGGTCATCTACATCTTCGACTAAGTTCATCTTCATTATCGTTACATTCATTCCTTACGCGGGCATTGGTTTACATCTGATTTGGGTCGCTGGTGGATCTCGGATTGGGTCGGGAACGGCGAGCAAGTGGCGGCAGGATTCCTTGGGGAATGCTATGATCTGAACTGCCGCATTATGCTGCTTGCTGGCGTTCCCTGGCTCACAGTTAATTGCTTTATTGTTTTCTGCGACGTCTTTCATTGCGTTATGGTTTCGCAAGAGCTCACGGGAGTCCGGTGTGGTCATTTTCTTGTTTTTGTGGGTTGTTTTCCCAAGGCAACATCTCGACACCCGGCTGGTCCTGTGTGTTCGTCCTAGCACTCGGTGGAGTTGTTGTTTTCATTGCCTTCTTCTTATACGCTCTTCTACGCCCTAATCATTAGTGCCTCCGTTCTACATGTGCGCATCAGCGTGTTTGGTCAATTGCCATGGGGTTACCCTAGGCCATCTTTGATACCTTTGTCCGTTATATACATTCTTCTGCTTCAAGTCATTCGTTCCACCTTTTGATCTATTACTTTGTTCGTGACCACTTAATGTATTGCGTTAAATCGTTTGATATAGTGATGTGTTTATGTGTCCCCGCCGTTGATGTTCTCCGCTCTGATTTGATCTGCTTTCAACTGCTTTGATTTTGGCCTTCTTGATTTGATTTGTTTAATTGCACATGCTTTGCTTGACCTTATCAGTAGTTCTCTGTACCATAGTAATTTGCGCAGAAAATATAACTTGTTGGCGGGGTCTTTGCTGTTCAGTATTGTAGATTGTTGAGCTGGCTAAATGGCTGGACTTGGCTGGTTAGCTGGTTAGCTGGAGTTGGCTTTATCGACGAGGTGAAAGAGTGGGTCAACCAGCACGGTGGATCGGTGGGGGATCTGGTTCGCGGGTGCTTATCAGGAAAGAAAGGAGGCCGACAATCGCGGGGAATGAAGTGAACTGAAAGAAGATGAAGAGGAATGAAATCCATGGAAGTTGCAGAGACTGGAATTTGGGAGATCACTGGACCGGAGCAGGTGACTTGGTGCTTACCCCTCTTCTTTGCTTCTGCAGCAAGCAGTGATGCCCGTTCCTGACCCTACAAGTACAAGTACAAGTACTCCATCCATAGTTAGCTCCTGATTCTTCCTTCCTCTTCCCCTCACCTTATCACTCACTTACTTTACTATCGCCCAACTGAATCAATCATGGCCCTCCCTTCCAACGTCCACGTTTCGTCCCATCCCCTCCTCCAAGCCAAGCTCTCACAGCTCCGGTCCGCATCCACCTCGACCCGCGAGACCCGCAGTCTGGTGCACGAGATAGCGACTATCTTGGGCGTGGAGGCATTTGCAGCAGGATGGAAGGTGAAGAAAGCAGGAATGGTAGGTTCACTCGTCAACTAAACAATCCTCAATGTATATTTTTACTGACTGATTTATCTGGACAGGATACCACCCCGTTAGGCACCGAATACGTCACTCACGACATTGATCCTTCGGACATTGCCTTGGTGCCTATTCTCCGGTCCGGATTGGGCATGATAGAGGGTATTCCACACCTGCCCCATACTCTCTCACCGACCAATTCGGTCACCCAATACCTAATTATTTACAAGACTAATAATGGAAATAATCAGCGATGAACAACCTCCTCCCCACCTCCGTCCCAATCTACCACCTCGGTCTCTTCCGCGAACGTCTCACCCTCCAACCCGTCGAATACTACAACAACCTGCCCTTTCAGCCCGACAGTTCCAGTACTAACACCGCCGCCGCGGCCACAGCCATTCTCCTTGATCCGGTTATTGCAACGGGTGCCACCGCTGAAGCGGCGATTCAGTTACTTCGTGAATGGGGCGTGCAGAGAGTCGTCATGTTGAGTGTGTTGGGTTCGGAGGCGGGTGTGCTTCGCGCTGCAGGCACTTGGCCGGAGGGCGTCGAGGTGTGGACTGGGGCCGTGGATGCTAGGTGTGATGAGCGCGGGATGATTGTGCCGGGGTTGGGGGATATTGGGGATCGGTTGTTTGTTGCGATGGGGAAGTAGGTTGCATGCAGTATAGTATACTACGTGTTGAGCAAGACTAGTCTACTTACTTGCTTAGGGTATGGTATGGCATGTAGTGAAAGAGATGGATAGATAGCTAGCTAGCTAGCAGCAGAATAGGTAGACGAGATGAATAGACATGAAATGATCTTACCAACCACTTGGTTGATAAAATGAAATCACCGTCCCCTCTGCAAAAACCCCAATACATCCATCTCAACCCCATACTCCACCTCATCCCTACCAGCACCAACACCAGCACCAGTAGCAGTACCCTGATTAACATTCATCCTACTCCCCATCCCCACATTCAACCCACCCACCGGAATCTCCCTCCCAGCACCAGAAGCAGAAACCGAAGTCGGAGTCATCGGCCCCAAACTCGGCGACGCAACAATACCCACATCCATCCCCGTAGTCAACGCCACCCCGATCTCATTCTCATTCTCGAATCCCTTATACATAGTCCCACTCCCAGCAGACGCAGAATTCTCCGGCGTGATATTCCTCTGATGTAAGCCAGTACTACCATCCAAACACCGCCCATCATGCACATGTCCATGTCCATGTCCATGATGATGAGAGATGAACTTCTCCCCAATCCCACCCCGTCCGTGATGAATCCCCCGTGTGAGAAGCATCTGGCGGCGGAGGGTTTGTGCGCGTTCTTCGCGGAATTCGGCGGCTATATTTCCCATTCCCCATGGGTGGTGGTTGTTAGATGAGTGTGGATGTGTATGGGATAAGTATGGGGAAGGGGATAGGCATACCTCTCCAGAAGAATACATACACGCCCATTACGACGAAACAGGCGGCGAGAAAGCCGAAGAGGATGCCGAGTTCGTGGGAGAGGGAGGTCATGGGGGTGTAGGGGGGGATGTTGTGCGGGTTGTTGTTGTTATTGGTGGTGGCGGTGGTAGGAGGGTTTATGGGGGAGGTGGTTGTGGTTGTGGTTGTGGTGTTGGACATTTTGATTTTTGATGATGTTGGTGGGATGGTTCTGAGGTCGGGGTTAGATTTGTTGGGATTGTAGAGGGGAGTGATAGTGGTGGTGATGGTGTTGTGGGTGTAGACGTGATGAGGATGTAAATGTGGTAGATCTTCGATCAAGGGAACCCACTTTTCTGCACAGGGAAGGTCATTCACTGAGATATGAGATAAAGAATGGAGAGACAGTAATCTGCAGTCAGTTCGTATTCTTTGTCTGTCTGCGCGGTATCATCATTGGTCGTCGCACTCGTACTACCCGGATCGGCCAACAAAGGCCGAATCAAAATCAACAGTTGAAGTGAATGAATAGAATTCAGATTCATGATCAGTTAAGTAGTAAGTATAAGTGTAAGTAGTAGTAGTAAGGTAGTGTAATAGTAAATACATCATCAAACAATAGCCTCAATGGCACAAATCAAGGTATCATGTACACGTACAAGAAGCGTCAGTAGAAGTAGGTAAAGGTGAAAGGTAAAAAGCACCCGGTCTATACATGGGGTATGGTATGAATGCAAAGGTCGAAAAGTAATGCATACCTCACCAAAGGTGAAGTGAAGAAGCGAAAAGTAAACTGCAGCACAGCCAAAAGTGATGGTGGCTGCTGCAATGCAATGCAAGCAACGCTCGTAGCAGAGAGCGACCGAACCAAGTCTAGTCGCCAAAGACTGTCGTGAAAAGAAATTATAATATAACTCCGAATGCAAGTTGGTGCAGCAGAAACCGTCGAGTCGAAAGTCGACGATAATCGTTGAAGGGTATCACCCCAGCATCACTGCTGCCAATGCCGTACAGGTCAATCCAATGGCCATGCCAATCCATGGTGTTTGTCCGAGTGTGCCTTCACTGCGTGCGCGCAACGCTTTGGTTTCCCCTGTCGTTGCGGCCAGGCCGATTCTCCCGCTCGCTGGTTCGGGCAGTTGATCCTGCACCCGTGTCGCATCTGTATTATCTTGAACCTCTAGCAGCGTGCGAATCTTCCGTAACTCCGCATGTTGCTCTGCATTCGACGGCATCGGGATCTCAGGCAACGGGGCGGGCGGGTTGGCATTGGGGAGGGACGGCGTAGGAGACACAGCGGGAGGTATTTGAGGATCGGCCTCGACGGCGAGGGCTATCGTCGGAGCGAGACAGAGGAGGATCGTGGAGGTCTTCATTGTGAATGTGTGGAGTGGATGTGCGAGAATGCGACGAGAAAGGTCGGTGCGGAGGGAAACAATGCAAGTAAGCAAGGCTGCGGGATTCCAGAACGTGCTGGATTAAAGCGAAGAAAACTCGTGCCAGGAATTATAATCCACCACTTCCAACGGTACCAACAATAGCAACGGAAGAATCCAAGTCCCACAGTAACCGAAGTCAAGGTGTAAGCTGAGTCGAGATCTGAAACGGGGAGCGCGACAGATGCGAAGAGTCGAGAGCGCAAAAGAAACGACTGGCTGGTGTGTATCTCCTGAAACCTGTAACGAACAATACAGGAGAAGCAGGCAACGGCAACGACAGTGTATGTGTATGTTAAATAAATTGCAACAGCAACAACAACCACAGCAACGACCGCCTCCTTTCCAACAACGACGGGCACAATACAATATAAATAAAGTACAAGCGAGAGCGAGAGTTGCAACAGGAGAGGAAATAAAAAAGGGACGGACGGGAAAGCAGAAGAAGAAAAGAAGAAGGGGGGAAAAACAGGCGAAACGGCCCAGACGCTGACAGGCCAAGCTGGAACGGGGGGGCCCTGACCCTGGCCTTTGCCAAATTAGTGGAAATTTAATTCGTCTTTAGCGTTTTTTGCCCGACCTCTCCTCTTCTAGGACAAAGCCCCACTTGCCCAAGTGGCCCCCAATAGATACCTAGTGGGGTTTGCCCAGCCTGCAGTGGCCCGCTATCCCAGATATTTAATTGGCTGTATCCTGCCGTGTCAGCACGGGCTGGGACTAGCGTCAGTTGAAAGGTTGTCTCGTGCCACTTACAGAAGCTTGTCAAGAAGGGCAGCGGTGGAACCAGGGACAATCCCTGTAACCATCGGCATCAGCTTTTGCCCGATTGGGGGAGGGTCTGGCCCGGGTGAACCAATAAGAAGGAGGAGAAACTCCACGCGAGGGCGAGGTTCATTTCCCGCTATTGGGTGAATTGGGGACGGGATGATAAGTTAGTGTAGTGCACTGTATAGGGCAGATAGATACTAGTTACTAGTATGGATGTTAGTAATAAACAGTATTATTTCCCAGTGTATCAGGCTATCTCGATTCCAAGTGAGACATTAATTTGCTTGTTGCTCACCGGCCCTGAAAATGACGAGCTTAAACTGGATTAATGATGATGTGCAAATCCCTCTCATCAACACGGGATGTCGCATCAGCTAACACTTCCCATCTATCATACTTCATTAAAGTCTATCGATCATCACATACTCGGCATCTCACACTTTATTACATACAGTGTCTGCCTCACTCTGCTGCTGCTGCTGCTGCTGCCCTCGGGTGGTCCGTGTGCTAATTATAGTCCCGCACATCACGCTGTTTCTCCGCGACAATCACTTCCACAAGGCAATCAACTTCAACACCACACAATGGCTGTGGCGTGGCATGGCTGGCATTCTTTTCTTTACGTCGTCACCTCTCACAGCCATCCATGTGGATAATACATCATCCCCAGGGTTTCTCCTCATTGGCATCTGAACTTTTGACAGTTCTATCTTTATCTTCATCTCTATGAACAAAACATCCGATCGGCTGTCCCCCAGCCATCCCGCATGACGTAAACCCCTTCCCTGCCTCCCAAATAAACAAGGCTATCACAACAACAACAACAACAACAGCCCCATCAACAGTGGGATAGCGTCAACATCCACCAGCCTTCTCACTGTTACATACAACATCGTCCTGTTACAGCATCTTCCCCCAGTCCGGTGTCACCGTAAACTTTCCACTCAGCTGTCCCATCGCCCACACCTTCTTCTCATCATCCGGAAATTCCTCGTCCGCTGCATTAGGCGGGGTCGACACGATCAACGCTTCTTGGAGAAAGTCCACGGCCGTTGCGCGATCCAGCTCGAAGCTGATTCCTCCCCAGTCCATCGTCACCCGACCCGACGCATGGACATTCAGCTTGCCGACGCGCCCGGCGCTGAGGCCCCAGTCGGCTGCAGTGACAATCTTGGACGACGTCCCTGTTGCCGTGGCATCCTCCCCACCCTCGAGGATCTCGACGCCATCTTCGCGCTTGACGCCTGTCTGCTCTGACCCACTGGCCTCCGGTGCGCTCTGCCCCGCCATCGTCTCTGTAGCTTCATCCACTGGATTCTCGCTGTTGCCCGGTACCACCAGGTTCGGCGTCATCGGTGGGAATTGCATCAGGAACAGCTGCCCCGCCAACTTGTCCTTGTTGATATCCTCCTCCTCCTGCTCCTTGTCCTTGTCCTCTGTTGTACTGTCCTTCTCCTTATCCTGGTCGTTGGCAACCACAGCAGGGGCCTCTCCCTCCGCCGGGGTGGTGGTCTCCGATTTCTCAGGTTCAGGCTCCTTCTGGAAGAGGTCCTTGACAATCTCCAGGTCCTGCTCGTGTCGCTCGTACTCTTCGATATCCTCCTTCGTGCGTAGTAAACTCTTCGGGTCCTTCACGGCAGCAGGGATCTCCGATTCGGGCTGGGGCGTAGCTTCGTTCGACGGGGGTGTAATTTTCCTGCGCACCTTGACCTTCTGCACCGGCAGCAGTCCATCGTCCGTCGTAGCTGGCTCCTCCGCATGCGGAACATCTGTCATGACCTGATCATCATCATCCGTAGGCTCAGACTTGACCTTGGGCTCTCCCTCCGTAGTAGCCGCAGCATCATCATCAGTCTGCTGCACAAAGAGCGCGCCATCATCCTCCTTCGTCTGCGCCTTCGCCTTCTCCCTCAGCTCCGCCGACTTGCTGGAGCTCGACTCCATATTGACACTGACCGTGCGCTCCTCATGCTCATGTCTCTCAACCCGAATAGGCCGCAACCCCTTCTCCGCATCAGCATACTTGACCGCCGCCTTCCCCTTCTTACTATCAACCATCACCTGCTCCTGATCCTCCTCATCACTATCCAAATTGATCTGGTCAATACTAATGCGCACCTCCCCATCACTCTCATCTGACGAGTAATCGCGAGTCCCCGCCGCCGTATTACCCAAATCAATAACCGACCGACTGCGTCTCGACATAGACGAATGTCTCGAATCATTTCCAAACCGTCCGCCTCTACCCCGACGCCCAGACATCCCCGATCCCAATGGCCCGCCCGCAGACCCCAGAGGTCCGCCACGCCCGCGCCCAAACCCACCGCGACCACCAGGACCGCCCTGATCCCGGCCGCGCTGGATCGCCGCCGCCTCCTTCAGGCGCTCGCGATGCCGCTCGGCTTCGAGCTTCTCAATGGCTTCTCGCTCCTCTTTGCTGCGACGGCCGACGGCGCGCGGCTTGTATTTCAGTGTAGGTTTGGCGGGTTCGCCGGGCGCAGCGGGCGCGCCGGGGGGTTTCGCGGCCGGTCCGATGCTGCCGGAGGGTGTGCGTTTCTTGAGCGATTGGAGGCGCTGGACGGGGGCTCGCCCGGGGGCTGATGGGCCGGGCGTGGGAGTCTGAGAGTCGCCGGTGGTGGTGGCGCTGGGCGCGGGACTTGCTGAGGCAGTTGTAGATGCATTGGCGCGGCTGGCAGCGCCGGCTGGTGCTCCTCGTCGGGGAGCACCTTTCGGAGGCATGATGGGTGGATGTGGATGTGGATGATCGGTGTGGTGGAAAGGGTGGGATTGAGTAGCGTTGAAGCAGTATTAAAGTAGGGACGAGCTGGAAGGGTATATAGAGGGTGGCTCGTCCGGAGGTAGGGAAGAGGAAAAGTAGAAATAAGAGGCAAGGAAGAGGATTGGTAATAAAGTCCGAGTGAAGATGAAGATACGGAACTTTTTGGCAGGATCCGCGCCCGCTCGGCGTTGGAGAAAAAAAGGAAATTATCGCCTCAGGCCGCTAATGCGGGGCAAGGCCAGTCAGCCGGCGCTAACCCGATCCGGACATCACCTCAGTTGTTGCTTCAATAATTCTGTCAATTAATGGCAGCCATTCACTGGATGTGATGGATCGCATTGAGTTGGTCTTGAACAATGGGTCTATTCAAATGTAGCGATTAGGCTAGAGACTTTCTATTCTGTCTATTGGCTAGCCTTCTACTACCAGCTCGCTTACGAATCTGCTGTGGCTCATAAAATTCAATATATATTTCCTATTGATCACACTAGACCTCTTTGCAAGTTGTAACTCATCTCCAGTTGAAATCAGACGGGCACCAGCAAAGCCATTCAAAACACAACCAAGTAATCCAGATACATCCGCTCTTTCAATGGGGGCCTAAATGAGTGGAGGCGACCCCGGACCGTGGCCGCGAAAACATTGCAGCAACTAACGCCAAAAGACACAACTCAGGAAGCTCAATCAACCCGCTCAGCTCAATCGCTAGACTATCCATGAGAAATAACAGGCCAGGCAGAATGCAGACGGTAATGCGAACTAGGTTGGCGATCCGAGGAGAGAGAGGTAGAGAGGTAGAGAGGTAGAGAGAGAATGAAGGGAGCGCGGCATTCGTGACTTCGATGCAAGATACAAAGAGAGACGTCGTGCACGAATCCGCCGGTGATGAAGGAAGGACATCCCAAGAGGCATGCCGGCTCGGGGGAGAGGAAGAAGTATTCAGTGATATGATGGGGGAGATTCGGAGAGTTTCAAGATGATCAAGCCAACGGTCCGCGTGGAAAAACTCGTTAAGGAGGGGAAGGATACAATGCACGGAAGAATGTCGATTCGTCTATGTTAAAAGGTGTAATATGTCAGGAGAAATGCAGCCATCCAGGCGCAGCTCATCAATGGTTCGGTACGACCGGTGTGGGCGAAAAGGAAAAAGTGAGTTAGAGGAGCGAGAAGTCCGAGAGGTCATGGGCAGACACAGCCATCCTCATTGCTGGGATTGGAATCCAGCTAACGCTTGCGCTTCTTGTTCTTATCCACGCTAGCCGCCGTGGTCACCGGAATAGCGGCCACGATGGACTGCGTCTCGACTCCATTCGGAGTGGCGTCGAATGCTTTCTTGACAGGGACCCCCATGTGGCGACCATAGCGGCCTTTGCGACCGTTTCCTTCGTCTTCG